TTTTTAAAGATTACCAAACTTAAATCTTTTGATTGACAGATCAATATTTAGGATTTCAACTCTGTCCATTTATATGTACACTGGCACATATTCAAAATAAAAGATCACCTGTTGGTATCTCCCAATACAGATTTCAGACCAGCAGCTTCTCCTGCAGAGCTGCACGTATTCACAGAGAAAAAATATATCTGAAAAATGCTGATTTATGTGAGGCTGACGCCTGACGGTTAAAATCCAGGTGAAAAAGATCAGTATTTAAGAGGATTTTAACGTGCAAAAACTCACATTCACACACATTGAATTGGTACTCCTGTGCAATACCAATTATGTGCAATATATATATATATATATATCAGGGATGGGAACGATTAATCGAATAGTCGAAATTATTCAGGTATTCGAATATGAGTTATGAATAGTATTGTAATTTGTTTTCTTGTTTTTGGGAGGGGTACCTAACCCCTAATTTCCACTTGGTCCGTCTGCGTCGCGTTACGGCCGCGCCGTTCGCAAAGATCGCGGCCACTCTAGTCAATGGGTGCTATTCCACCACACGCGGCGCGTTACGGCCCAGAAGCGTCTCGGCGCAGGGCTTCTCTAAAATTAGGATGAATCCTATTTTTGACGCAACGCAGCCGTAAGGTAATGTCGGGCAGGCAGGAAGTGGAACGGTCAGAGCATCCGGGCCGGGCCCATCCCCCACATATACTAATTTTGCAGACCCCCCCTCCTTCATCACAACACCTTCACTACGACACGCACAATGGACGACGAGGTTTTCATCATGGAAGTGGAAAAACACACTATTTTATACGATGTAACCAATGCTTTTTACAAGGACAACATCAGAAAGGACAAGGCCTGGTTTTAATCGCTGGAGTTTGTGGAGTGGAAGGTAACAACTACATATTAATGTTTTAAAGTGAATTAATACTTGTAGGTACAGTACTGAGCCATTCAGTAGTTTAACATCTTGTGAAAGTCATTAAAAAACTTTTCAGTAAACTTGCATTTCACAATAAAGTAAGATCTTATTTCCTATATCAAGATATACACATATATATATATATATATATATGCCTGCATGCACGACGCTCCGCTTCTGAAACGCGCCCGGTGGGTTATGACGCTAGAGGAGGTCGGACCAAAACATTTCTGTAAAATCTTTTCCCACATTTTTTTATTTTTTATAGGATATGTACATTTCGGTTAATCGGTTCACCGTTTTTTTGGGGGGTCGAATATTCGAATACACATTTGCTTTCAAATTCCCATCCCTAATATATATATGCCGTGAATAGCTGTGCAATATACTGTATACCTGGCTGCTATATATCTCAGAATTGTTACAGGATGTGTATTTAGTCAATTGTGTAATGTATTTATCTTTAACATTTGGTATGCATGCTTCTTAATTAACATTAAGCTTTCTTTGGTTCTTTCTTCTTGCTGCAAATGTCCCCTCTGTGGGACTAAAAGATATTCTGATTCTGATTAAATTAAAATGTATGCTGGTAAATGAAAAAAGCTTTGTTACTAACTGTAAAGCACTTACTCATCACTGTACCCTGTATGCCAGGGCAGGTTGGCCTTCACTCACTGTTCAGAGTAGTGTTGTCACGATACCAACATTTTGGTTTCGATACCAAGTCAAGAATTGCGATTCCGATTATTTTTCGATACTTTTCTTAAAAAAAGGGAAACAGTCTTAAATGTAATTATTGTGCTTTATTTCACACCAGAACCAGAACACACACTTTTAAACAATGAGAACAATAAACACAATAAATGACAAGAATTCGTATTAAATCAAATTAAGCATCATCTCAAACAACTTTTTTGTTTTATAAAATATAATTTTTTTTATATTTTATTAACATGTAATAGTACTGTAATATAAATAATTATTGACAAAATGTATATTGCAGATGTTAGCCACATTGGTAAGTTAGCTAAAAAGATAGCATATTAGACAGTTATCATTGCCATTAATTGCCTCGTCAAACTACGAAAACGTTCGTTTGTCACAAAATAAATTACACTTATTTGACTTAGATGTGAGGGCATGGGCTGAGCATGATGTAATTATGTTATCTATCACATTCGCTAACCTGTCTGTCTTTACATTCTTTAAACAGCTCTGGATGCCGGGGTGCTTAGCCAAGTCTGATGTGTTGGCTCCCTTGGTTTGCAGGGATCTAAAACATGTCTCACAGACAGGCCTCGTGGTGTCCGTAGGCTTGCCCTCACTGTCAGAGATATCGCTCAAATACTTCCAAATTTCGCTTCTGGCGTCTTTTTTGTCAACAAGGCGCAGCGGCAGCTGCACTCCCACTTGCAGCCATGCTTCTCGTTTTCTCACATGCTCTGGCAGCTAGCGCGTGGCCGCGTGCACGAGAGAGGGGAGGGACTTGGAGCGTGCACGAGAGAGGGGAGGGACTTGGAGCGTGCACGAGAGAGGGGAGGGACTTAGAACGTGCTTGAGAGGGGAGGGACTGCAGGCACGGCTGCAGTGCAGGGAATGGAAGCAGAGCGCTGAACACACACGGCTCTTATTAAAACGGCGCTTTCTCACCGGAGTACTTTTCCCCGTCATTCTTAAAGTAACGATACTAATGAAACGGAGGAATCGTACCGTTTTTAACGGCAGGGTATCGCGGTACCTTTCAAGTATCGGTACACCGTGCAGCACTAGTTCAGAGACTCAGTCACTGGTACATGTTCATCTACAAAGCCCTGTTGGGTAAACTACCACCTTACATCTGCTCTCTGATCACACAGAGAGTTGCAGGTAGCTATTGCCTGAGATCACATGATGTGGTTTTGTAACATGTGCTAAGTGCAAGGGCTGACTTAGGGACGAAAGCTTTTATGTGCGCAGCTCCTCTTGCTTGGAACAGTCTGCAAAAAGAATGGAAACTGAGCATCTTGGTTCCACTGCATGCTTTTAAAGGTCGGATAGAAGCTATGCTATTTGATACTGTTGGTACTTGTCAAAATAAAATGCAGAGAGTTTGTTTTAAGCCTACAAATATACAACATCATATAAGTAGATTAATATTAATGAGGATTTAAACTCCATTTAAATGTACACTGGCAAATTTACAGACTACCAACATGTTGTGAGCTTTTGACACTTGGTATCGATCTTACAGACAAAAGATCACCCCTTTGTAACTCCTAATACCAGTTTTTTACATCCGTATTTAAAAAGTGTTAAACCTGCAGACTAGGGATCGACCGATATGGCTTTTTCAAGGCCGATACCGATTATTAGTAATCAAGGAGACCGATAACCGATATTTGGAACCGATATACATTTGCAGTAAAATCAGAAAATCTTGGTGTCAAAATGTAGAATAACACAAACTCAACTTCTTTGAAATGCATTTAAGCATATATTATGTTTAATGAACTTTTAAACATCTTACAACTTGTTTCCTCTCTGTGCCCTTTTCTTTAGTGCAGCCGTCTGCAGTGAGTTAGAGAGAGACAGGCTGCAGGCTGACACGCTTAAATAACAATAATGCTTAATTTATTATATCAAAACAATGCCTGTCTATCTAGATCCCAATAAGCTGCTAGCAACTGAAAACACTAGTGCTAGCTAATGTTTTGCAAACTATTACAAGTGAGGCTATTACAGTAGACCTAACGTTAGTCTAGGAGCCTCACTTCTAATCTTTTGCTACATGTTGGCTAGCTAATGAGCTTCGCATATCAACCTGAAAAACTGCGAGGCTCCACTCGCAGCCCCCCCCCCCCCCCCCCCCCCCCCCCCCACCCCCCCCCCCCCCGCACCACAGTTACTCCGCTGCGAGACGCTGCACGCACCCCCAACTCTGACTGACTTCCCGCGTCCCTGTGTAACTGGGAAACTGATAGAATCGGATCATAAGATCGTGGTGTTTTTTGCAACTTCAGCTTTCAACCAGTGGCGAGCCGTGACTTTTATACCTAGGCCCTCTGACCCCCCTTCCCTCGAAAAAAAGGAAGAGTTATTACGTCACAGCGTATACTTCAGCGGAATATCAAAACAGCGGCCCGGGTGCAAAACGCAGCAATGACAGCGACCCTCTACCACACAAAACAACACCATTTGTATAAACACCTATCATGACAGGGCACCCACAGCCAGGTAACAATTACAAATGAATTAAGTCGGCACGGCGGCCAACATTGAAAATGACTTAGGCCTACCTTTGATGATAAATCACTGAAACACAAAGTCCATCCTCCTGTCCTTTTGGATGAAGCACTTGCGGGTTATTCAGCTGATCCTTTGCCACTCCAGTTTATCATTGGAACTCAATCTTGAAAATTACTCTGTTAATAATTTTGCAAACGATGTCATCACTATCACTGAAGTGAGCCATCATGAACGAACTTATGCTAATCATAAATCTATCGATCATAAATCTATCGATTAGATTTATGATTCAAAAATAATAAAAGTAGGGTAGACATGTGGATATTATCCGGCTGAACAAAACGTGCATTTATCTAACAGGTTCGTTTTCCACAGACCTTATTTCGAGCTATTTTCCAAAATCCTATGGAGAAATCCCGTTGCTTTCTGTCGAGGGAATCCGAGCGCAGCTTACTTCCGGGTTTTAGGACGCGTCACTGCACCACTTGCATAGACCTCACAGCGGGCGGAACTTGTCATAAAGTCCGCGAAAATAAAGCCCGCCCATTTAGAGGGAAGATATGATTGGTCAATTGTACTGTCATTTGACATTACTCTCTCGTTGAGTTACTATAGCGGGCCCTCTGTGAATGTAGAGAGGGACCAACAAGCCCTCCCGTCTTCACATAACTCGCACAGACGGCATTTAACCCTTCACATTCCAACAGAAACTGAACAGGCAGATTCGAAGGATTTATTTATTTGGAAATGTTATTTTAAATACAATTAAATCAAGTTATTTTGGTAAACTAATGAAAAAAAAAGTAGGGTAAAAATAATATATATAATAATATAATAATATTTAAAAAAAAAAGTGTTTTCAAATATTATTTTGTAGCATATCTTAGGCCCTCACAGAGGCGAGTCAGAGTGAGGAAAGCAGAGAGAAAGAGAAGCAATAAATTATGATGTGTCCGCAGCGACTCGTAACATATTTTTTAGTAACATGTGGGTTAAAATCTCACAAACCAACAACTTTCTTACACATTTCTCTAAATTAATACTTACCTGAGTTATCAGACCTAAACAGAGTTAATGCAGCAATTCATGTTTTTCTCAACATCATAAGCAGGAGGTTAAAGAGTCAGATTTAGAGGAGGATAATATTACCATTCTGAATGGCCTCATCTTTCCAGCCGGGGGAGCCATTTTCTGCTGGCTCTAAAACAGATGGGAGAGGAACTTTTAAAGAAGAAGCTCCGTGTTTTCAGAGAACAGCCTCCTCTGCTTTTCACACCACAAACTGTGGAGGCAAACCGGTGCAAACGAGCTGCAGCAGGAACTCTTCACCCGGAAGCAGCTTCAGAAAGGATGCAGATATAAAAACACTAATGTTCCACATGAAGAAACATCGTCAGCAACTTGACAACACCCCTGGCTTTTCCTATTCTTTTTTGGTCAACTTTTTTTTGGTCAACTTTTATTTTGGTCCAATTTTTTTGAGGGTCACTTTTTAATGTCCCCTGGTCTCCCAGCTGTGTGCGTCACTCTTTAGTGTCCTCTGGTCTCCCAGCTGTGTGCGTCACTCTTTAGTGTGCCCTGGTCTCCAAACTGTGCGCGTCACTTTTTAATGTCCCCTTGTCTTCCAGCTGTGTGCGTCACTCTTTAGTGTCCCCTGGTCTCCCAGCTGTGTGCGTCACTCTTTAGTGTCCCCTGGTCTCCCAGCTGTGTGCGTCACTCTTTAGTGTCCCCTGGTCTCCCAGCTTGTGTGCGTCACTCTTTAGTGTCCCCTGGTCTCTTAGCTGTGTGCGTCACTCTTTAGTGTCCCCTGGTCTCCCAGCTGTGTGCGTCACTCTTTAGTGTCCCCTGGTCTCCCAGCTGTGTGCGTCACTCTTTAGTGTCCCCTGGTCTCCCAGCTGTGTGCGTCACTCTTTAGTGTCCCCTGGTCTCCCAGCTGTGTGTGTCACTCTTTAGTGTCCCCTGGTCTCCCAGCTGTGTGCGTCACTCTTTAGCGTCCCCTGGTCTCCAGCTGTGTGCGTCACTCTTTAGTGTCCCCTGGTCTCCCAGCTGTGTGCGTCACTCTTTAGTGTCGCCTGGTCTCCAGCTGTGTGCGTCACTCTTTAGTGTCCCCTGGTCTCGCAGCTGTGTGCATCACTCTTTAGTGTCGCCTGGTCTCCAGCTGTGTGCGTCACTCTTTAGTGTCCCCTGGTCTTCCAGCTGTGTGCGTCACTCTTTAGTGTCCCCTGGTCTCCAGCTGTGTGCGTCACTCTTTAGTGTCGCCTGGTCTCCAGCTGTGTGCGTCACTCTTTAGTGTCCCCTGGTCTTGCAGCTGTGTGCATCACTCTTTAGTGTCGCCTGGTCTCCAGCTGTGTGCGTCACTCTTTAGTGTCCCCTGGTCTCCCAGCTGTGTGCGTCACTCTTTAGTGTGCCCTGGTCTCCAAACTGTGCGCGTCACTTTTTAATGTCCCCTTGTCTTCCAGCTGTGTGCGTCACTCTTTAGTGTCCCCTGGTCTCCCAGCTGTGTGCGTCACTCTTTAGTGTCCCCTGGTCTCCCAGCTGTGTGCGTCACTCTTTAGTGTCCCCTGGTCTCCCAGCTGTGTGCGTCACTCTTTAGTGTCCCCTGGTCTCCCAGCTGTGTGTGTCACTCTTTAGTGTCCCCTGGTCTCCCAGCTGTGTGCGTCACTCTTTAGCGTCCCCTGGTCTCCAGCTGTGTGCGTCACTCTTTAGTGTCCCCTGGTCTCCCAGCTGTGTGCGTCACTCTTTAGTGTCGCCTGGTCTCCAGCTGTGTGCGTCACTCTTTAGTGTCCCCTGGTCTCGCAGCTGTGTGCATCACTCTTTAGTGTCGCCTGGTCTCCAGCTGTGTGCGTCACTCTTTAGTGTCCCCTGGTCTCCCAGCTGTGTGCGTCACTCTTTAGTGTCCCCTGGTCCTCCAGCTGTGTGCGTCACTCTTTAGTGTCGCCTGGTCTCCAGCTGTGTGCGTCACTCTTTAGTGTCCCCTGGTCTTGCAGCTGTGTGCATCACTCTTTAGTGTCGCCTGGTCTCCAGCTGTGTGCGTCACTCTTTAGTGTCCCCTGGTCTCCCAGCTGTGTGCGTCACTCTTTAGTGTGCCCTGGTCTCCAAACTGTGCGCGTCACTTTTTAATGTCCCCTTGTCTTCCAGCTGTGTGCGTCACTCTTTAGTGTCCCCTGGTCTCCCAGCTGTGTGCGTCACTCTTTAGTGTCCCCTGGTCTCCCAGCTGTGTGCGTCACTCTTTAGTGTCCCCTGGTCTCTCAGCTGTGTGCGTCACTCTTTAGTGTCCCCTGGTCTCTCAGCTGTGTGCGTCACTCTTTAGTGTCCCCTGGTCTCCCAGCTGTGTGCGTCACTCTTTAGTGTCCCCTGGTCTCCCAGCTGTGTGCGTCACTCTTTAGTGTCCCCTGGTCTCCCAGCTGTGTGCGTCACTCTTTAGTGTCCCCTGGTCTCCCAGCTGTGTGTGTCACTCTTTAGTGTCCCCTGGTCTCCCAGCTGTGTGCGTCACTCTTTAGTGTCCCCTGGTCTCCAGCTGTGTGCGTCACTCTTTAGTGTCGCCTGGTCTCCAGCTGTGTGCGTCACTCTTTAGTGTCCCCTGGTCTTGCAGCTGTGTGCATCACTCTTTAGTGTCGCCTGGTCTCCAGCTGTGTGCGTCACTCTTTAGTGTCCCCTGGGTTGCGTTCCGATAATCCAAAAATTAGCTCCTAAGTTCTAACCCTATCTCCTATCCCTTGACCTCTGAGTAAAAGGTCACGGGGTTAAGGGATAGTGGATAGGAGAATTCAAAAGGATTTAGGAGAAGAGACTGCGGTACGTTAGAGAATCGACTGCACTTTCACTATCCGACGTGTTTCTGATGCGCCAGCGGACGTCCTGAATGAGCGTCTGCTGCTGTGGGGAAACTATGGAGACTACAGTTCTCTATACAGCGGACTACAACATGGATGTTCAATAAGAACGAGGGACTCCTGTGAACTCATCTAGAGACTCTGTGCTCTGACGCTGTTGCTTTATGCTTTATGAACAACAGAGAAACAGATTCTTCAGGACCAAAGCTGGAATTGAAATAAAAAAGGAAAGTGAAGCTTCTGCTCGTCCCCCTCTCCCTCCGGTCCACATTAATACAAATGATCCCAATACGTATGATTGATGAAAAGATCTTAAATCAATACAAATGTATTTATTATAAACGTTAGTCCTTAACATCTATCACTGTGTATATCACCATTCAAACATCTTTTAAAAGTTGAACAAACTCCACACAGCTCAGTAAAGACTGTGAGATGTTGACTTTATTTGATCATTTCAGTAAAAACTAACGTTCATAATTCTCTCTTTGATTATAATACTGATGAACGTTCAGAACAAAGCACTTTGGCAACTTACCACATACGTTTTAAAAAGCTTAATAAGCACCGTAACTTTCATGATATCATTTCTCCCATTATCGTTTGTGTCCGTGAACGGCCGACTGTTGAGTGACGGCAAATGCTGCGGCTGCAATGCATTGTGGGGCAGCATTTTCTCCTCTCCTTTCGGCTAGGGAGGTCCAGTGGTTCCTAAGCTAAAGGAGGTTATAAAGGAAGTTTGAAACCTCCTTTCCTTTCATTTGGAGAATTGGAACGGCTCTTATCATGGCTGCCAGTGAGGGACTTCCGGGTCATTTCACTCCGTTAGGAAGGTTCCTAAGCTAAATGGACTATTGGACTGAGCCCCAGGTCTCCCAGCTGTGTGCGTCACTCTTTAATGTCCCCTGGTCTCCCAGCTGTGTGCGTCACTCTTTAGTGTCCCCTGGTCTCCCAGCTGTGTGCGTCACTCTTTAGTGTCCCCTGGTCTCCTAACATGTCTCCTCAAGTTGCTGAATATTCTCTAAACGCTACATGTCTCCTCAAGCTGCTGAAGATGTTTCTTCATGTGGAACCTTTGGGTTTTTATATCTGCTTCCTTTCTGAAGCTGCAGTTTCTCCTGATGGAAGAGCTTTGGGTTGTTGAAGCACATTAGCACCTGTTAGCCACCGTAACCAGTACTCGAGTTGAGGGGGGATGGCATCCCCCTGAAATAAAAACGGTCAAAATCATCCCCCTTCTAAAACTGCCATCCATTATGTAATTTGATCAATGAACGTGGCACTGGTATTACTGCTATTTCAACATTAATTTAGCGCATTTTGAGTAAAATACTGTGAGCAAGGGAGCACGCACACACGCAATGACATGTTTACCAAGTCACTGACGCTATGCTATGCGAGTGCCCTAGAGGGCGCCAGAGCGCCGTGATGCGCCTGTTTGATGGATGCCAGAAGCGCAGGTAACGGTCATCACAATGGCCAAGCAACCAGGAGGACAACGCGATCTGAGGGACTTCATATTTAAAAATACTAAAAATAACATTTCAGGTAAGTCAAGAATCAGTAATCTTAGTCATTACTCATTACTTTAGTCACCAAAGGTGGAATCTATGGACATAAGCAGCAATAACAACTTAGTTTGGAGTTATACGTTTTTCTCTCGTGTTAGCTAGCTGGTCAGACTCAAAACTGTTGATGAAATGATACCACCAGCACCAGAAGAGCTGAAACCCCTCCTTCAAGCAGTGAACACTCTGGTCATCTCCACAGCTGAGTGTGAACCAGTGACGTGCGCTGAGGTTCATGGCTGGTGAGGCACTGACTCTTTCAGAGTCAGATTTACAAATATCATATTTTGACCATAATCGACATATTCGGTTATTTTCAAAAGCTTTTTTAGTCTGATGCTTCGATTCATTTTAAACAGACCGTTCAACAAAAGGTTACCCAAAATCTAAATATTGGATTGTTCTTTCTTAGTAAGATCCCATTTTCATTACAATGGTGGTCTTACCTTGACTTGAAGATGAAGTCCATGCTCTCCTTCTGGACAACAATCTCTATTACTTTTTTGTAAAAGTCCTCCTTATCTTCCTCTAGTTTCAAAAGTCTAGTTTGTTGTTTGCGTCTACCGTCTCTGCGTAGAATAACAGTAGCAACAGGAACCCGTGGGCTCACGTGCGCCCCCTTCAGTGCGGCAGAGGTTATGGCTGCCTCCCCTGTTGCTTTTTTCATTGCCGTTGTATGATGAGACCAGCGAGCCTAAATATCATATATACGTGAAATAAGTTCTTTAGAGACTATGGATGGCGAGGATAAATGTAATAGAGGGATCTACAAACATTACATTGGTGACATACAGTGAGA